GTCATTGACGTGGTCTGTCAGGAGGATGTAGTTGCCGTTGAAGTGGAGGCGGTACATTCCCGGGTCGTGCGGCAACTGCCTAAAACCGATCTTGATGAGTATTTTGTGCAGGTGCTGCTGCCACAGTCGCGGCGCCTGCTTGATCACGTGAAGGGATTTCTTCAGCTGACAGACCCTGGGGTCTCCTTCCCCGTAGGTGTGCGGCTGCTCCACGAAGATCATCGTATCGACCAACGCGTACAAGAATATGTTCTTGACGTCGATCTGCCGCAGTGGTAGGTGCTTAGCGGCAGCGATGGTGAGTAGAATCCGCATAGATGTATGGCGGCTCACGGGGGTGAAATTCTGGTTGAAGTCGATGCCGTGGCGTTGGTCGTACCCGCGTACGACCCAGCGTGCCTTGAAGTGCTTGATAGTTCTGTCAGCGGCTGTCTTTAGGCGAAAAACCCTCTTTCCGCTTAGCACCCTCCTCCCCTTCACTATTGCACGATTGACTAGGACCCATGTGTCGTGCGACTCCAGTGCTTTCAGCTCCGCATCCATAGCTGCACGCCACTCCTTGGCGTGTGGACCTGTGAGGGTTTCCGCGGGTTCTTCGGCTTGATGATGCGTGGAGCGGTAGTGATGGCGGTGTGCAGGCCGAGGAGTTGTAGGCATGTGACATTAGCTGTGCCTTCGGCTTCCTGAGTGGTTACTTCAACCACATTGTCGTTGTCGTGTGCAGGTGGTGGGCTGCTTGGAGTGTCATGATGACATGATGGTCCTAGCGCGGGAGCGTCGTCGCCGTCGTCATCGTCGCGTGGACGAGGGGGTACGCCGGGATGTTCATCGGCGGGGTCGTGGTCGAGAACCGCTGCTGCTGCCTCATCTTCTAGGGAGGCGAAGCTTCTGCTGCTGTTAGCATAAGCTTGTGCAGCGCCTGTTTGCTAGTTGATGGTCCACTGGTTCGGGATGAGTCGTTTGTAGAAGAGGCTGTCTCGCGCGGGTACAATCTTGTTGTTGTTGATGTCCAGAATCAGCCAGCCCTTGTATTCGTAACTGAGCCCCAGATGAACTCCCCAGCGCGCACTGTCAGTGAATTTGCCGACTTTAGCAGATGTCGGCGTGTACTGCACCATGCACCCCCAAACCCTTAGCATGGAGGTGTCCCCCCTTGTCCCAGTCCACATCATGTGCAGTGAGAGGTTCCCCTTGTTGGTTGTGGTAGACAGGAGGTTATGAAGTCGCACGGGGTGGTTCATGGCGTATGGCCAGTACTTCTTGGGAAGGCCGGACTGATTCATGAGGGCGCGGACCTTTGTCATGAGGGTGCGGTTGACCCGCTCGGCGACGCCTTGCTGCTGGTGAGCGTAGGGGAGAGAGATGTGATGCTTGATCCCCTTCTCCGTGAGGAAAGCTTGCAGCTCGTTGCAGCAAAATTCCTTGGCGTCGTCTGTCTGCCAAATTTTCAGCTTCTTTCCCGATTCCCGTTGCGCGTGAGCCAGCCAGATTCGAAAAACTTCAGGGGCTTTCGAGCGGTAGACGACGTTAGCTACCCAGACGTAGCGTGAGTTGGCATCGATGAAGGTGAGAGTGTGATTTTCATCATTGACCCTCCCATGGTTGATTACGATGAAGTCGCTGTAGAATTTCTGCAGCTTCTTGTAGTGATTGGTGCTCGGCTCCAGTGAGGGGTAGGCTTGGTGCATGAGGGAAGCTGTGGGGCAGATGGTGTAGGTATGTGGCTGTGTGGTGCTTCGCGGTTCTGTGCCATCAGGGCGCAGCAGTGCTCCTGGCAGGAAAACTTTGGCGGTGAGGCAGTTGTTGAAATTCTGTCGTGAGGGGTGGCCGAGCCGCTGGTGCTAGAGGTCATCTTCTGCGCGTACTCTAGAGGTGCGCAGGTATCTTGCGTGGTATGCAGCTGCCTCTGCTTCTGTCTCATGAGGAATGCAGAGTACAGGTCCTTCTTCTTCTCCTTGTTCGGCTACTTCTTCCTCCTCTTCTTCCGATTCTGCTGCTGTTTCTCCCTCTGCAGGCGCTGTTGATAGATAGAGCACGAGGAAGTTGCAGTCGGGGATGGTGTCGAGCGGGGTAGTGGTGCCTTCGATGAAGTGGGCGAATGGATCTCGGCGCGAGAGAGGTCCGTAGGCATCGCGCGGCGGAGTTGCGGGCACGTTGCCGTGTTCAAGCTCGGACCAGGTGTAGTTCCAGATCTAGGGACAGCAGATTGCGTGGAGGTCGCCCAAGGGGAACTACGACTCTCGGTGGTGTTTGCGCGGTGGCTCGTTCAGCGGCCATTTCTCTCACTGCCTCCTCTAGCTCTTCTCGAGTGAGCTCCCCTTCAGTGAGTTCCCAGGCTCCGGTGTTTCCCCAGCCTCCTCCGCCGGTACTCCAGCCGCTTGATGTACCAGAGGCATCATTTGCTGATCCCCACGTTCCTGATTCACATTCTTTGTTGTTTGGAGGGCCCAATCTCCAATCCTCGGTGGGGGTGGCTCTTGCCGATTTCTCATCCCATCCTACCACAATTCTCTCCCGAATCGACTGTTGCATCTCCTCTTGATTTGCCTTGTCCTCTTCCTCCTGAAAGCCGAGCTCGTCAAGTTTGTCAGGATCCTTTGAGTCCTTGTACACTTGCCGGTGGACGTCGCGGGTGTAGGGAAGCGGCCAATTCTCCTCGTCAAGAGTGCATGTCCGAAGAGCTTCAGTTGCAGGGCCGGGCCGTTCTTGAGCTTGGACGCCAAGCTCCTCTTGTTTGGTGCCGAAGATGCGATGGGAGGTAGTCGCGAGCTCCAGCTCCGTCATACCTTCTGTCGGCGCCACGGCACTTTCTGCTTCTTCGATTGTCGCCAAGCCTCTTTCAACTTCTTCGGTGCGGCTCGTCGTGGGCGTGAAGCAAATGGTGCAAAGTCTGTCAAGCCCAGGTTGGTGCAAATTGATCTCGCGTGGGTGAGGACTGCGCTTAGTCCACGCTCTCCCGTCAGAGTGTTTCCACGAATTTTCGGATTTGGAGGCGAAGTCCAGAGGAAGGAGATCCACGATATCGTTCGAAGTCGCTCTGCAATCGGGGATGTCGAAATCGAGCACGTAGACTCTCTTGATGGAGCGTGCTCGCCCGAGGTATTTATGGGTTCCGACGGGTGTGTCGGGAGGAACGAAGTTGAGGATGAGGTCGCGTGTGTAAGGGTCGGCGGTGAACGTGACTCCACGGTCAGAAAGTTGTCCCGCGGATAGCAGATTGAAGCGCAGGTCTTGCACGTAGAGTAAATCGTTGAAGGTGATGTGTGTGTTGCTGTCACGTTTGTACCACGACGATGCCTTGCGCATTTTCTTGTAGCTGGTCGTTGTCGGCGACGGTGACGTAAGTAGCGGTGGGAGTGCGGCTGACGTTGGAGATGTAGCGCAGTGATCCCACCATATGTTTTCTGCAGTAGTAGTCCAGGTACCAGTTGCTGTGGGCAGCGTTGTTGTTGCATAGGAGCAGCGCGAGTCGCAGCGTGACGATGTTGACGAAGATTTCCTCCGAAATCACGCTTCCGTGCTTCGTGGTTTGATCACGGATATTCCGACAGCGATTAATGTATGAATTCACTTTCTCCCCGTGCCCCATCTTGGTCTCCATGAGTTGCTGCAAGAGCCTCCTGGAGGTGACTGAGTCCTTCATGTAGTTTCAGAGCTTCTGCAGAAATTAATCCTGGCCTGTCAGGGCAAAAAAACGAGTGTTCGGGGTTCTGTTTTTAACACTTCTCTTGGCACCAGCATTGTCCTACTCTTGCTAACTAATGCAGGGTAGAGAACACCACCATACTAGACCAGAGAACACCACCGCTACTCTAACAGCAACACTGGAAGGGCGCATGCATGGGCACACGACGATACGAGAGTATTGCCTTGCCCAACCTGTTCCCAATCTGATGGGTTTGGCTGGTGCGTTGCAGGTGATCGGAACTGTCAAAGGAATCGTGCGAAGGTGGGAAAAAGACACGGGGAAAAAAAATCCCGAAACGACCTTGACTAGCCATGTATTTAAGGGGTACATTCCCTTATTACTGCGAATTCAAACCGTGCGGCACGGGAACCCGTTTCAAACCTGTTCACTTCAAATGTTTCTGCCTGCACCAAATGTTGCTGGTGTCGCTTCGACTCTTCGACTTCGTACTCGGTAGAGTCGGCTCCTGCAGCGTACAGGCCTACTCATTAATTTTCATATCGCAACACTATACCGTCATCGCCCGGATATAAGACATATATGTCTTATCTCGTACACGGGCAAAAATGCTTGAGTTATCTTGTAAACGGGATGGTTTAGGGTGTCTTATAAGTCTTATAAATGGAAACTTTTTAAACTACTTAGAAATATTTTCCGTACTTCTTGAAAAAAAGTTTCTCATAATGAGTGTGGATGTTGCGAAGGTGCCACTTCGACAACCTCTGCCCGGGACGCCACGTTATGGAGAACACCTGCAGGGGCAAATTTGGTAGGTCCTGGGTCAGCGCGTGGAAGAATTCGCGCTTCGCAAGGGTAAAAATGTACGCGGTATTTCAACTTTCGCTATAATTTATTGAAGTTTCGATTATAAGACATATATGTCTTATCTCGTACACACAAATAGGTGTTTTATAATGAGGCTAGCCTGTTTATAAGAGACACCCGTATAGTAGACAACCCCTGTCTACTATTCAACACTGTCTTATATCCGGGTGATGACGGTATGGTATAAAGTACGGTACGTGGAATATGGTATTACAATAAGAGAGCCTCTTCCGCGCAAGAGTCTCTGTTGACTTTCTTACTGGCGGGTCATACCGAGGTACGGTATTCCTTTGACCCCTTGCTGCAGTTCCGTTTGCTTGTTGAAGTGGACACGAAACAAGGGGTCAGGCCATACTGGGTTACCCTGTTCTTTGCAATTTCAACTAAAAAATATTGAGCTTGAAATCCAATATTGTGTGGTAGGACTTCAAAGTTTCAAATCCATTGCACTGTCCATATGTGCCTCGACACTCTCCCTCCCGCACAGCTAAGAGGGACTCGTGACATCGAAGCGGGCCGCAACAGCAAGCTCCTCGGATCGCTGCACCACGAAGTGCAGCTTGGCCACCACCTCCAGCAGCAGTGCCGCCACCTTGATGAGTGACAGCGCTGCGATGCGCTCCACCGTTCGGTCCCACGTGCCGCCCATCGACGCCTGCCGCTGCAGCAGCTCCTGCCGCCACTCCGCCAGCGACGGCTTCTTCCGCCCCATGCCGCCCACACTCCCCATGCCGCCCGCTGATGCGGCTGCATCGCCCTGCTCTCTGGCACCTGCTGGTCCCCATGCAGCAGCATAGCCCGCCAGCCCCTCCGCCAGCGACATCTCTGATGGTGTCAGCGCACCCATCGCTCCCATCGCTCCCATTCCTGCCGCTGTGCCTGCTGCTGCTGTCGCTGCCGTGTGTGGTGGTGCATGCGAGTCGGGTGCGGCGATGGTGGGGGAGGGTGAGAGGCCGTGGGGGTGGCAGAGAGGACTGCCGGGGCGGGAGAGCCTGCATGCGGGGAGAGAGCAGGGACGTGCAAGGAGAAGGGTGGGGACTCGGGTAGCGATGAGAGGAGAGGGGGCACACGGCAACTTTTCATCGACGCTTATCTCACGCAGTTGCCACTATTGCAGTGCCTCACTTCTCATACCCACACTCCCCCCTTACCCACACTCCCCTCATACCCACACTCCCCTCGTACCCACACTCCCCTCATACCCACACTCCCCTCATACCCACACTCCCCTCATACCCACACTCCCCTCGTACCCACACTCCCCTCGTACCCACACTCCCCTCGTACCCACACTCCCCTCATCTCCACACTCCCTTCATCCCCACACACCTCTCATCCCCCACACTCCTCTTAGGTCCACACGCCTCACCTCTCTACTCTGGGCGAAGCAGATTCCATCAGCCTTTTTTGCCCTCTCCCCTTCTCTCCCCCGCCCTCCCCCTCCTCATCCCCACCCATGTCGATGCAGCTCTTCACCACTCCCTCCCCATCCTCCGCCCATCCCCCATCCTCACCCCCCCCGCCCCCCCCATGCACCACCAATCTGTCAAACCCGTCCTCGCCCCCCCCAGCACCCCCAGCGCCCCCAACACTTCCCCCTCCACCCTCGGAGAGGCGGGAGAGAGCGAGGGGGCGGGGGGCGAGGGAGGGGGGCGGCAGCATGAGGATTAGGCTGATGTGCTTCGACAGCCGGTGCTGCAGCTTCATGGCAGCTTCCTCGGCGCGGAACAGCGAGTCAGGCGGCCCCGCCCACGTGAACGAGCGCACTGACTGCGCCAGGTAGGCCAGCGTGCTGGTGTGGAGGGGGGGGGAGGAGGGGAGGAGAGGGCAGGGGGAGGGAGGAGGAGGGGAGGGAATGTGTGGTTTGAGGTGACTCAAAACACGCCCACTTGAACAAGCGCACGGACTGCGCCAGATAGGCCAGCGTGCTGGAAGAAGGTAGGGGGGAGGGAGGGGGGAAAGGGGGTGCGTTGAGGGAGATAGGAGGAGGGAAGGTGGGGAGCAGGAGGAGGTGGAGAGAAGAACGGACAGCGCCAGATAAGCCAACATGCTACAGAGTGGGAAGCAGCGCCAGATAAGCCAACATTCTTCATTTGGTGTTTCTGATTTTTCCGCATCGTTCGAGAGAGCGAGAGAGAGAGAAGCAAGGGACTTAGTCTCTTCCCTCCTAGGCTCTTCCCCTCTCTTCCCCAGCTATATAAGGGCCCCTTGGCCTTCTCTCCAGCTCATTCTTCATTTGGTGTTTCTGATTTTTCTGGCGCTTCGCGCCGGCGCTCGCGGGCGCGGCCTGCGGCCGCGCGCTTGGGACGACAAGGAAGATAAAAAGGACGGCTAGATGACGGCAAAAACAACAACCATGGCAGACAACGACAACTAGACAAGCTACCATGGAACGGGTCTACACACGCGCGAGGGGGCCGCCTACATGCGGTCCGCCTCAAGCTCACCAAGCATTTCGCGCGTGGTCAGCCACATCTGGCGGACCACTGACGCGGTGGCGCCGACAACGTCAACAGGAGTTCCACGAGTTGCTACAAGGGTCCTTAGACCCAGGGCCGTCTCAGCCAGCTGGGTGGCCGAGACTACTCCCGGCAAGGGCGCGACTTGCAGTGGCGAGACGTACGAGAATAATGCTGACGCCGCTGCGTGACACCTTGCTCGCGGCATCTGAGAGAACGTGCTCGGCGGGGTCTCCAACATGGAGCCATGCGACTCCTGGAGAATCAGTTCAAGACTCTGCAGGCACTCCGCCAACGACCACAAGTGCGCCAGGGTCGCCGTGGGCACTGGCTTCATCTGCGGGGGGTATGCAGATGCGCGAGATCGGCGAGCCGACACTGCCTGATCACGAGGAGCAGGGAGGGGACGTGGCGGAGCGAACTGGGCCCACGGGTCCACGCCACCCGCGCCAACAAAGCCAGTCCCCGCAGGCAGCGGACGAACTGAGCGCGCCAGGGATCCCACAGGATTATGGGGCAGGAGCGCGGCGAGAGGAGCGACTGGAGCAGCGGGAGGAGCAGATTGCGAGGACGACCCCGCATGGGAGCGGTGGAGAGCTTTCTCCACACCGTCCAATTTCTTCAGGACTCGCTCCATCGCGGAAGGCGCTGGACGCGCAGCACCGCCGCGACCGTAACCCCCCCGTCGCCCACGATGCGCACGTCCACTCGCGCTCGAACGCACAGGCGACTGTGGGCGAGACAGGCCCCGCTGACGCTGGCGGTCAGGGGAACGCTCCGTGCGACGAGGAGAGTAGAGCCGCTGGCGTTTCGCAAGAGGGGGAGAACGTGGCGCCAAGGACCGATATCCAGACGCATGACGAGCAGGCGATCACGGGAACGGCTCCGTGACAGCTTGCGTCGAGGCGATCGAGGAGACCGCGGTGATCGCGGAGACCGCGGCGGGCGCGAGCCAGCGCGACGGTCGTCGTGGCGGCTCTCCCGCTTACCGTCGCGGGCCGCCGGCGAACGATGGCGAGGCGAATGCTCCCGGTGCGCCACAGCCTCTGCGCCGGAGCGCGCGACGGACCCCGCACGCGCAGGCTCCCCCAGAGGCAAGGATCCGCCTCCGAGCAGACCCAGATCCCGACGCTGATCCTCAAAGCGCCGACGGATCTCATCCGCAACCGCCGGCGGAGCAACAGGTACGCTCGCGGCAGGAAGTGGACGGGGAGCGGCGCGGTCACAGCCCAGAGCACCGAGGAAGTCCATTGGCCTCCGCTCAAGGCGCGCCACTGGCCCGGGACGAGCCGATGACACCGATCTCCCAGGCGCAACAGGCCGCACCAGTGGCCGCCACTCCGAGGAGCGGGCGGGGAAGCACACGGGGAAGAGGCGGGCGTCGAGGAGCACGCGGAGTACAGCGAAGCGCAGGCCACGCGGCAAGGGGGAACCCCCGCCAGCCGCCGAGCCCAATCTGGTTGGGGGAGCCGGCGGAACGAGTCACGCGCCAGTCGTTCGCCAGGCGCGGGGCGAGAGGTGGAAGGACAGTGCAAGCAGGGAGAACTGGTGATACAAATGCAGAGGGGAGTGGCGACGAATATGTACCATCGGATCTGAGGCAACCCGACAATCCCGACTCACCCCGCGCGGAAGCGGGGGCGGAGCAGGCGCAGCTGCAGGAGAGAGGATCGGGCCGCCGACAGAACCGCAGACCCCAACCCCCCCCGGACCAGGCCCTCTCGGCGTCCCAGCTGGCATTGAGGGATGATCTATTTGAGATCGCGATGAGCTGGGACTCGACTACCCTAACGTCGACCTCTCACCTGCCTATCGTCCGCCGCCTGCTGCCGCAGATCCTAAGCGCATGGAGCACACTCGGTCACCATCCAAGACATGGAGGGACGACTGCCGCCACTGGCATTGCAAAACCTCCGCGGGGAGCAGGAATCCCCGTCCCAAGACCAGCTGCAGCGCGCCCTCTCCTAGGAAGTGCATGCGGCAAAAGCCGATGCCATGACGGAGGAATCATGCGCAATCAGGTCTGCCCCCGAGATGGGGCACACGCTCCGCCTCGTCAGCCTCAGAGGTGAGGGAGCGGGGGCATGGCTGCAGGCCCTACCCCTGACTCCAGACCTCTGCTTTTCACCAGGGCAATCCCGAACAGCCCCGGCCTTCCGCATGGGCATCCGACAGAACGTACCTACCGTGTGCGAGTGTGGAGAGCTCGTAGCCGACTGCAGCCTCCCCAACCACCTACTCCGCTGCAGCACAGGCCCTGACCGAACACGCACACACAACCAGCTGGCTTTCGCCGTGGCTAAAATGGCGAGGGAGGCACAGCTGGTGGTATACCTAGAGAATGCAATGTACTCACCACCGGATGACCCGAAGAAGGCAGATGTGATTGTACGCGACCCAGACAGTGGTGAGACATGGATCACAGACACGACTATCACTGACCCCGTGCTACAGAACCGTGACCCAGCAGCCCGCAACCCCCCTGGATGGGCTGCAAGGGAGGCACAGAAGAGGAAGGAACGGGACTACTACAGGCACACCGAACACGTGGTGTTCTGCGCCCTAGCCGTCGAGACCTATGGGGCAAACGCACCCCCCACGACGGCGTTCCTGAAGCTGCTGGCCACAGCAGCAGCTAGGAACCGCTTCAGGGCCAACCCCTTGGCGAAAACCGCCAAGAAAATGGCCTGCCACTTCAGCCAGCGCTGGTCAGTGGCCCTCCAGCGCTCTCAGGCGAATGCCCTGCACACCAAGGCCAGGGCAGGGATTGAGGCGGCGCACCCCCAGATGGCAGCAGACCCATGGCCGCTGCACCTGGGGGACATCCTCCACACACTGGAGGGGTAGAGGGTCGCAGAGGGGGAAGGAGGGTCAGAGGGATGGGCCAATGGGGCAGAGGGTCTAAGGGAACCACGAGTCAAACCATATGTTTGTACCCCCGCTGAATTAATACAAAGGACCATTTGAGAGAAGAGCGGATAGGAGAAAGGCAGCCGCACATCACTCAGTCTGCTGCATCCCTAGCCGCCTCACCTGCTTCATGCCTCACCTGCTGCATGCCCCACCTGCTTCATGCCCTTCCTGCTGTCAACCCCACCTCCCCACTGCACCCCTTGCCTCACCTGCTGCACTCCTGGGCGATGCTTGTCATCTCACGCCCCACCAACCGTCGCAGCACCAGCGGTGCCTGGATCTCCGCCCTCAGACTGGAGTCCAGGGCGATGACGTCATACACCAGGCAGCGCAGGGTATCGCTGACGTCATCATAGAGCTGCCATGGGTAGCCCGAGAAGAAGCGGCCGTGAGGCGGCTCGAAGAGCAGCGCGGCCAGCTGGGGGGAGGAACAGGTGGGGGGAGAAGTAGGAAAAGGAGGGGGGGGAAGGGGGGGGGGGGGGGCGTGTGCAGGAGGAAGGATAACACGCCCTTCATTCACCCAGTCCTTTGCCGTGTTGTTCAGGTGGTCACCGAGTTTCAGGACAACTCAGTATCGGAGCAGCACGTGACAGCTGTTGAAAGTTATTGTTTCGTAGTCATGGTGCACTGTTGGCAGCATTTCCCTTGCCACCCTTTCATTGTTGTCGTGCCAATGGTGCAAGGACAGCGAATGAGACAAGAAGTACAAGTGGTTTAGTGGGACTCTACCACCCTCGTTTTGAGAAGTGTGGTCTTATTGGAAGCAGCTTGCAAGAGGGTGCAAGTGGGAAGACAAGCTGACTCATGATTGGCTTGACTCACTATTGGTAGCTTTGAGTACAGCTCTGAACATCCAAGTGTGGTTGGCTTTCCTGACCTAGCTATGATGTTTCCCATCTTTCTCAACCTTTCTCCCCTAGGACTCAACCTTCTCTGAGTTCTCAGGATGGTCCCAACCCCTTTAGAGTCCCCTAGGCAATGTTGTACTCACCTCTTCCTTGCATCAATGAAACTACACGTTTTAAGCAGGGCTTATGTTTTCGTTCACTGCGTAGCGCATACAACTCTCATGAAAGCAAGCAATATACTGTTGGAAAACAGACACCTGAAGCTAACGTCTATCCAAGTTTGAGCATCGTATGTTATCAGAGCTGATCGTGACGGCGTTTTGAACAGAGGCGATTCGAATTTATCAGATTCTGCTTAGGTGGTTTCATGGGCATCCGCGACCCCTAAGTGGACTCTAGACTATAACACTTCATTCACCCACTTCTCTCTCCTGCATTCATCCACTCCTCTCTCCTTCATTCACCCACTCCTCTCTCCTTCATTCACCCACTCCTCTCTCCTTCATTCACCCACTCCTCTCTCCTTCATTCACCCACTCCTCTCTCCTTCATTCACCCACTCCTCTCTCCTTCATTCACCCACTCCTCTCTCCTTCATTCACCCACTCCTCTCTCCTTCATTCACCCACTCCTCTCTCCTTCATTCACCCACTCCTCTCTCCTTCATTCACCCACTCTTCTCTCCTTCATTCACCCACTCCTCTCTCCTTCATTCACCCACTCCTCTCTCCTTCATTCACCCACTCCTCTCTCCTTCATTCACCCACTCCTCTCTCCTTCATTCACCCACTCCTCCCTCCTTTATTCACCCACTCCTCTCTCCTTCATTCACCCACTCCTCTTGCGTGCCCTTCGCATGCCCTTCGCACGACAACAATGAAAGGGTGGCAAGGGAAATGCTGCCAACAGTGCACCATGACTACGAAACAGTAACTTTCAACAGCTGTCACGTGCTGCTCCGATACTGAGTTGTCCTGAAACTCAGTGACCACCTGAACAACACGGCAAAGGACTGCCACACCGATTTGGAGACCAATCACGGCTTGGTAGATGAGTCAGTAGCCGAAATGGTGAACTCGGGTGTTACCAAAAAAGAGTAACACACACTTTCGGGATGCCATAAGTCTTGAAACTAAAAATGTTGCCATGCCTTGTATACTGCTTCAACAATTCTACAACTTTGAGGGTGTGAAAAACAAATGTTGAAGCACCTCCCCACAAAATTCCAGAAGCTGAGCAGGCTTATAGGCTGAATGGGAGTGCGATGACTGTGCCACTATAGTGCTTTGACACAACAAACTCCCCCTCATCGTGCTCTCATTCATCCCTTAGCTGCCCCTTGAAGCTGCCTTCTTTAGTTGAAGGACATGCCACACAAGGTGGCACAGCTCCAATGCTGATGCTCCGCAAGCCGCTTAGTCAAGAAATCTGCAGGTTGCTTGGTAGTGTCCATGTAGTGCAAGGAGATGGTGCCTTTCTTCACCTCTTTTTCTCACTCAATGCCACTTGATATGCATGTGCTTGTTCAGCCCATGGAGCACAGCATTATGCGCCATTGCAATTGCTCCTTGGCTGTCACAAAACACAGGTGTAGGTAGGCATGAGCAGGGGGCGAACTCGAACATGTTCGTGTTCGCCCCCTGACGAACATGGCCTTCTGCCGAACCGAACAGTGTTCGGTTCGGCGAACTACTTGAGTGAAAATAGGTGTTCGCCGTTCGCCCTAGGAGGCGAACAAATTGCTGCAACAGGCGAACACGAACATGTTCGTGGCGAACATGTTCGTGTTCGCCCAGGGGGAAATTCAATATAGAGTAAAATTCAAATCGTTGCACATTCCCTCCCCCCACCTCCCAAGCCAGCCCCGCCCTGCTTCATCCATCTAGTGCCAGCGTGCAACGGCGAAATGCTAGATCCGCACTTAAGCAACGGCGAAATGCTAGATCCGCACTTAAGCAACAGCGAAATGCTATATCTGCACTTAAGCAACGGCGAAATGCTCGATCCGCACTTAAGCAACGGCAAAATGCTCGATCCGCACTTAAGCAATGGCGAAATGCTCGATCCGCACTTAAGCAACGACGAAATGCTCGATCCGCACTTAAGCAACGGCGAAATGCTCGATCCGCACTTAAGCAACGGCAAAATGCTAGATCTGCACTTTACTAACTGCGAAAGGCCAGATCTGAGCCCAAACACCAAGGCCCGCGACCTAAAAATTGGTCGCGGGCCTATTCGTCGACGAACACATTGGTGTTCGTCGAAGGCCTGTGTCGAACACAAACACGTTCGTGTTCGACGCGCCTCGGCGAGCTGAGCCGGGCGAACGGCGAACGTGTTCGGGCGAACACCGAACACGTTCGCCCCGAACAATTTAGGCCAAAAAAAATCCTGTTCGGTTCGCCTCGAACGTGTTCGAGGCGAACCGAACAGGAGTTCGTCATATTGCTCATCCCTAGGTGTAGGACCCTCTTGCTCCTGCCCCAACTCCTTAAGCAACCTCCTCATCCAAACCACCTCCTTCACTCCATGAAACAATGCCATGTACTTGCTCTCCGTTGATGAGTGAGCTATCTCTCCTTGCTTTTTGGACTTTCAGCTCACTGGACTCCCTCCAACATAGCATATATAGCCACCATGAGATGTAGCATCACTGATGTCACTTGGCCAGGTAGCATCGGTGAAGCACAAAAGATACAAGTGCCCACGCCTTGCAGGTGCACCAGTCTTTTTGCTCACCTCCTCCACACGTTTTTTCTTCAGCTGCCCATGCATTGAATATTGCGGCCCCACCCTTGAGATTGTCATGCAGTACCTCACCAGCCTCTCTACTGCATTCAGGTGCACTTGAAGGAGCTTAGACACCACACGAGCCGAGCAGTGAAACTGAAAACGCAATGTCGGGGCGAGTGTTGACCGAAGCGTACATCAAGCTCCCCACCATTGACTAGAACCGACGCTGCAACTCGTACTCAACACCTCACCCTCCTCTTCATCAAGGTGCAGCTGAATCCCTGAGGGTAGAGGAGTCTTCACACTCTTCCTTTCTTCCAACCCATACTTCTCCTCCATGACTGCAAGGTACTTGTGTTGGTGAAGACTCAATCATCCCTTCACTTTGTCCCGCTCCACGTGAAGACAAAGGTAATACCCCACTGGTCCAAGAGTCTTGCATTGAAATGTCCCTTTTAGCTTTTCTTGCACCTCTTTGATCCTCTCCAGGGATGGAGAGAAGAGGGGGATGTCACCGACATAGACAAGGAGAAATACCTTCTCCTCCTCCTCGTCGATCGTGAAGAGGCTCTCCTTGCACCCGCTAATTTTGAAGCCAAGAGCCTCCAACGCCTCCACCAGCCTTGCATACCAGCACCATTGAGCTTGTTCGAGGCCATAGATGGCCTTGTTGAGCCTGCAAACACGTCCGCTCCCATCGTCATACTCTTCTAACTGCTTCATGTAGATCTCCTCATCTACCACGCCATAAAAGAACGCCATCTTCACATCTATTTGCTCCACCTTCCAGCCACAAACGGCAGCGGCTGCTAGCAACACCCGGAGCATAGGAGCCTTGGCAACAAGCGAAAAACACCTCTTGAAAGTCAATCCCCTCTCTCTGCTGAAAGCCTTTTATCACAAGTCTTGTCTTGCGCCTCTCCAACTTCTTCCCCGCATCGGTCTTTACACGTAAGACCCACGTGCAATCCAACGCTTTTCTTCCCGGGGCCAGATTGGTGAGGGTCCACGTTTCATTCTCCATATGGCTCTTGAACTCATCCTCCCTTGAAGCCAACCAAGCCTCTCGATCATCCCCAGCGAGAGCTTCCTCCATTGACGCCGGCTCATGAGGTAAGTTGACGCCAAAGCAACAAATCTGCTCCATTTCCCCCTCGGCTCCTTTTTCCTCTTCATCTTCCTCCTCCTCGACCAGCAATGCCTTGAGACCCCCAAGCTTTTCATACTCCAGAAAATCTCTTGGGTGGGCAACTCTTTTGGACCTCTTCTTGGCTGCTCTTTTTTTGGTTCCACCGCGGACAGCATCACGCTTCCCTTGGGTTGTGCGCCTTGGTGGAAGCTTAGGGGATGGTGTGGGCTGCTGCACTTTCTCCTCAGTATCACTTCTTTCAGCTACATGGGCTTCTTCTTGCTGCAATACTCCTTCCACATCTGCTGCTTCTCTTTCAGCACATCCCAAGTCATGTGACACCTCGGTCAACTCTGAAGATGGGGAGAACTCGATGGGAATGAGAAGTGGGTCGTTCGTTCCCACCTCTATTCCAAGCGGAATGGTGATCTTGCTCCTCCCCGCTCCGACCACTCCTTGAACATGAGCCCCTCCATGAACTTGGCATCTCTGGTGGTGAAGATGGTGTTGGACTTTGAGTCCCACATGAGCCTGCCCTTGCTCCCCTGTGCAAGACCCAAATGAACGGCCCACACCGCCGCCGCTTGAAGCTTGTCACGCTTCTCCTTGGGGACATGCACGAGCCCCATGCACCCGAAGACACGAAGCATATCCACCAGGGGCTTCTTGCCACTCCACTTCTCCATAGGGACTCAATGCTGACCTCCC